AATGTTTTTTCTCATATGCAGAAGCTAGAGAGAAATAAGGATTAAAAAAGGGCAATCTCATAAAAATCAAAGGGAGAAGAAAGGAGTAAAAAAAGGGAATCAAGGAAAACAAGGGATAAAAAAGAACAAGTAGTAGGGATTGAAATGGAGTAAATTATGTTAGGTGCATTTATAATTATATAACTATAACTCACTAATAAAAACATAAGAAGTTTTTTAAAAGATGTGCATTCCATATAAAAAAAAGAAAGACTTGAATAGAGTACATAGAATTGAATTTGTGAATAAAAGTAAATTTATTGACTGCTTTTCAAATTAGCTAATGACAGTCTTTGTTTATTTGTTTGTTTGTTTTAATCTGTGAAGTCAGGTAACCATAATGGAACTAAGAAATTATTGACAAAATATGTACAGGTGTTAGATAACCCTTGGTTCATATAAATGTTCTGTCACTTTCATTTCTTTTATTTTGGTTAAGCATCTCATTTTCCATTTAGAGCATATACCAGCACCATCCCCCACCATTAACCACCAATTGATCAAACTGGAAAAGTTATTTAATGTCTCAAAGGCTCAGCTTCCTCATCTATAAAATGAGTATAATTATATCTGCCTCACAGTGATCTTCTAGAAATTTAATAAGATAATACGTGAGTCCGGCCCATAGAAAGCACTCAGTAGGGTTAACTATAACTTTGTTGTTGCCTTAAATACATTTTAAAAGTGCTTAGGAGAAGCACTTTAGGATCAGGAAGTATATCTGGCTCAGATACCTTTATAATCTCCAGAACTCAGCCCATTGGTTTTTACATTATAGATACCAAATCAATGTATGTTAAAATTGATTGAGTTGAATCAATTGTGCTGAATCTGATTTTTCCTATGAAGAAGGGGAAGAAATGACTTGTTATAAGAAACAATGAATTCTCTTACATGGAAAAGTAGAATAGAAACCTGCATTCTTCCCAAGCAGAAGTTCCACTAAACCGCATGGCCCTAGCACTCTATTCTGTGGTCTCTGTACACTATCCTTACAGTTCTGAGACACTATTAATAGACCCTTCACCAAGGTGAGCCTGGCTAGGTGTTTTCTGAGGCTACCCCTCCATTGTCCCTGCTGATAGAGAACAGACTTGAGTGGTGGGAACATGAGTTTAAAGGAATAATTCTATAAACAGAGCCCACTGTGCTAGCCCCCACATACTTTCTTTTTTTAAAAGGAAAGGAAGCTGGCTTTGAACACTTGATCCTCCTGCTTCAGCCTCCCAAACCACTGGGATTACAGGCATGTGCCACTGTGCCCAATTTAAAACAGCGATTTACGGCTGGGGACATAGCTCAGGTGGTAGAATGCTTGCCTCGCATGCCCAATCAATCCCCAGCACCACAAAAAAACAAAGAAAGGAAAGGCAATTACCTGCAGCCCTGCCTGATAAGTAATTCCCCCTAACCACAAAAGCTTAAAAGAACAGGTTCCAATTAGAACCAGCAGCATGAGCCAAACTAACCTAGAGCTGTTATGTGGGGTGGGGACTTGAAAGTCTGATGCCATACTAAAAGTCAAAAGGTGGACCTGGGCAGGACTCTCTCAAAACTTCCCTGAGATCCCCAATAAAACTGGAGGGCAGGAAGGGCACAACACTGTCCCTCTCCCATCTGAAAGAACCCACTCTTTCCTTTGAGGGTATCCCCTTTTCCCATTGCCTATCCTTTGGATACATTTGTACCTGTTACTCTGAGCAACATGTCTGAAATTTTTCTGGCTTGATGTAAGAATGGGTCTGCTTCACTTTCACAGCAGGCCTCTGCCCTGTAACAATGGCCAGCTCTGAACTGGTAGGCAACTCTCCAGAGGAGGAGGACTAGAAAAGATGACACTTTAGCATGCATGCCCTTAACAATTTCCTGATGAAGAGCTAGGGTTTTTTGTTTTGTTTTCAAGTAGATAGAATATTTATTTATTTATTCTTTTTAGCTACACAGGACAATAAAATATGTATTTTGACATATTATACATACATGGAGCCTAATTTCCCATTCTTGTGGTTGTACATGATGTGGAGTTACACTGGTTGTGTATTCATATATGAACACAGGAAAGTTGTCTGATTCATTCTACTGTCTTTCCTATTCCCATCCAGTTTTAATATTTGTAAAGCTTTCTAATCTTTGAAGCTAGGAAGGAGGATAGGGAAAGGTAAGAACCAAAAGTACAGGTTGCTAACAATAGAGCTGGGTGGGCCAGCCAGGTCCCCAAGGAAGGAGCAGAAGGAGAGACCAGGTCAAGCCTCCAGAATGGCCCTCAGCAGTGCCATCTACTGTGCCCGGGCTGTGTTGAGGGACAGGCGGATGGGATTCGGTTCCCCTGAAGGGGCTACTTAAGCTACACAAAAGAAACTCTCTTCAAATACAGGCATTTATTTGTAGAAAAGCATCCTTTTTTGCCTTCCAGGTAAACTGAGTACCAAACATTAAACTAAAACAAGGACTGACTCCTGCATTTCCATTCCTTTGGTAATTGGAAACTGTTAAAAATGGTGACTGTGCTATCCACGTGGTAGCAAAACCTGGTTGAAAAAGAGCTGATGAAAACACTACCCAAAACCCTGTGTTTGCTCTTCCTTCTCCATTCACAAGGGTGCTTCACTAGAGCCAGCCGTGAGAGCACAGAAGAGTGACTAACTACAAGGCACCCCCAAGAACAGGGAAGTGAGAGAAGAAGGCAGTCTGTCTCTGGGGGTTCAGTAAAGAAATCAAGATATCACAGTCAAGAGATGCAAAATACTCTTAAAGAGACCAAATAGCTCCCAGGCTGTGAGAGGAGAAAGTAAGCTGATTAAATATATTAACATATCTAAAGGGAAAATGTTTTAGTCTCCAGGGGCAGCTGGTCAGCTGGAAGGCCTAAGAAAAAGAGAATTCCAATGGAAAATGCCAAAGGTGTCCATCCAAGCAGTCCAGGGGTCACCTTGCAATCTGTCTGGTAGAAGACAAAGATTTATTTTGACCAATAAAATTCCAGGCACTATGTGAACTTCCATAACTTTCCAAGAATGGCTGCACTGTTGAATCAAACAACAGAGAGGCAGAGCTATGGAAGGCTCTGGCTCTGAAACTCTGAAACTCTAACTGACCTTGCTTGGATCCACACTCCCTGCAACAGGTGGCCAATAAAATCTGCTTCCCACCTGCCTGCCGGCCTTCAAGAAGATGATGCAGGGCCAAAAGATAGAGGGAAGAAAACCCCTCCAACTCTGGGTAAGGTGTGACATAGCATCTTGGCTTTCTGTATAGGTCCTATGATCTGAGTTAATATAAATGCATCCTGGAAGACAAAAATAGTGTCTCTGTGTGTTGACAAATATGCTTTACAGACATCAAAATAACAACAACAGAGGATTCAAGAAATGGGCCAGCCTGGCCAGCCAGGTCTCCACACCTCAGCACTGTGTGCTAAGTTTTGCTTTCTTTTCAAAGTTTCACATAACCCCGGGGCCAACTGAGATCAGTTCATGATTATTCTCTAAGATGTTTGATATAAACATGTAATTTTTCTTATTCAGCATCATTATTAATCAAAGACATGCAAATTAAGAAAAAAATTGCAAAGGGAAAATTGGCACCGGGTAAAAGCTAAAAGGCATTCTCATTTGCTGCCGGTGTGTATATAAACTGGAAATATTCAAAAGTCTTAGAAATATGTACGCTTCTGACCCAGCAATTCTCCTTACAGGAATTTAGCCTTTCTCAATTAAAAAAATGTACAATTATATAACCACAATGATGGGTTTCAGAGTAGTTCATAATAGGTCTAACTTGGAATTATATAAATATTCAAATGTTGAAATAAGTTAAATAAATAGCTATAATGCAATAATATACTGACATTGCAATATGTTTCAAAAGTACATTTTCTGACCCAGAAATGTTTTTTAAAATTTTCTTCTTTTTATCAAATTACATGTTCTGGGTTTTTTTTTTTTTTTTTGGGGGGGGGTCTTATTGTTTTGTACACTTATATTCATGTATAGCTCTATAGGTTCTGAATCAAAGTTGAGGAGCTGCCCTTATCTGCACAAAGAATAGAATCTAAAAGTTGGAAGGAAATTGAGGTAGGGTACTGAACCCAAGTCTTCTATGAGACACAAAAGGTACAAATGATTTATCTGAGGCCACCCAGCTGAGTGATGGCAGAGCCAGTGCCACAAATTCAGATCTGTCCAGACATTTCTGTTGCCTGCAAATTACAGTAGAACCTTGTCTCTATGCTAATCAACATTAGTGTCTCTACTCAGAAAGTGGAGGTACCCCTCTCGCTGTATGTCAAGCCAAAAAATTTGAGTAAAATAGTTCTTGAGGATCTCTAAGAGAACTGTGCACAATAATAAGAAACCTCAACTGCAAACTGCATCCTTTATAATCTTCTAGGATTTTCTACACGTGTCATAAAATACCAAACCTCTCTCAGGACATCTCAGAATAAATTGGTGAGATGCAGAGTGGAGAAATGAGGGGAAATGACCACAAAAATGAGGTTGTACTTTGTGACTCATACTTAGTCATTTCTTAATGTGAACACTCCCCTTCATTGAATAACCCCCATCATTCTATGCACCAGAAAAGAATACATCAGCCTCCCAGAAGTTAACTGGGGTCAGCAGCAGCAAAATTAAGTCTCCGTTCTCTTCTGTGACCTAAGTGCAGTGACTCCTGACCAATTTCCAAAGAAACATTTATGGAAGAACTGCAAGGCCACATCCAACCTTGAATCATCTTTCTGCAAGAGCTGTTTTCTCTCCAAGCAATATTTATTTGAAGGCTTTTGATACCACAGGGGGATACAGTCGATGCTTCACTCCTTAGAGAAGCCAAGAAAGTAGCAATCAAGAGTGAAAGGGAATGCCCCATCTCCCCAGGCCTCCATCTCACTGTCACTGACAGAAGCAAACAGGCACTGAGAAAAGCAAGGGCATCTCATAAGGAATGAACGTCTTACTTACGGACACACATGTCCCTGCTTTCATAAAATCCAGGACAACACTGGGATTTGCGCCTATACATAGTTTTTTCCCCATGTCGATAGGCAGTCCGATAACTGATTCTATATAAAGAGAAAAAAAAATCACACATTAGTTCTTTTGACCCACAATTTTGTCAGAATAAATTTCAATTTTAATAAAAAGAGCTCTTAATTATAATAAAAGTAGGCAAAAAAGTACTTTCAAAAAATAAGAAGAGGGGCTGGGGTTGTGGCTCAGCGGTAGAGCGCTCACCTAGCTCATTCAATCCTTAGCACCACATAAAATAAAATAAAGGTATTGTGTCCAACTACAACTAAAAAACAAAATATTTTTTAAAAAATTAGAAGAAACATAGAAAAATCGTCTTAACCTATTTTATGCTGACTCCAGAAAATTTTCTGAGATTATGTTGTGATTCCTTAAGTCAACCTGGTGGCATGGGCCACCTCTCTGTCTTCCTGTATCAGGAGCAAAGCTAGGACAATAGTAAGCCCTCCATAACTAGCCACTGAACACATTGCTGTGCGTTCTCAAGTAACTGATACCTTAGATGGTATCGGACTCCATTGCCAGGTAGCCAAACTCATAAGCATATCTGAGTCTTCATTACCTGTGCCGTGTGCATTTAAACCAGTTTAGGATGTCAGTGCAGCTGGTGTAGTAAATCTGATCAAAGGGATGCGGGTATGACTCTTGCACAGTAACTGAATAGCTGGGGAAAAAAAAACAAGGAAAATAAAGTATCCATATTTTTTCCTTTTTACAATAATGACATAAGCCACACTATAAAACAATTGTAGGCTAAATTGTTGGCAACTCCATACTGACTTTTAACAGAGAATCTCTCTATTTTCTTAGGTTTTTATTTGAACAAGAAGCCCCCAAAGACCAGTATTAACAATATCTTTCAATGACAAGACTTCATTCTGTACATTTCAAAGGAAATCAACTTTTACTATTCATTATAAACCCGAATATTCACCAATTTAAAGCATTTCACTATTTTGGTTTTTTTTGTTTTTTGTTTTTTTGTATTTAATTCCCTCCCCTTATCCCAGGGCTCCAGGGATAGCAAAGGCCTTCCACAAAAAAGTTTTTTATTTACTTCTGCATACAGATAATAAGGTTAATCAGCGAAGAGACAATTCAAGTATTCATAACAGAGTACATTTGCTACTGATTCTGAAAAATCAGAAAAAACATTTTTCTCTGGTGGGAATTTGGAATAATTTGCTTTCATGTTCCTGTCCTACTTCTATTTCTCAGGCAGCAGAAGAGAATATACAACATCTAAATAAAAACTACAAAAAAATTCTTTAAACTTGGCTCTAAACATATGTCTGAGACAATTAGTCTGAAACAATCATACCAACAGCTTGTTGCTACTTAAACATTCTGTTTTCTGACACGTTTTCACTAACAGCTTCTTGTTAGAGTAAAAACATACAGTCTTGTCAGCTCCAAAATGTGAGTGCATTACGTCCATGAAACATTCAATACTTGGTCCCATACTTCTTAATTTTAAAATTTACTACATACTCAAGAGCTTAACGTCTCCCTACAAGAAAACCGGGAGAATTTTATTTTTCTAAACAATTTATTCTATTTGCTTTAAGTTTCTTAAAGATTTCCACTAAAGTCTTCATGCTAACAAACAAAATGGGCCATAATTACAGACCCACTTGCAGCAAATCAATAGCTCAAGTTCATTAATAGGAACTATCCACTAGAGAAGGTATGGAGGGAATGAGGTTGAGATTTCAGCATGAAGAGTTCAGGTTAGACAAATGACAGAAACTTGTGATTTAAAAAGCTCTGTGGTGCTGGCCTCACAAACAATGGGTCTTCTTTCTGAAGCTGGTTTCTGGTAGTTTTTATATAGTTAGGCTTCAGTAGGAGATACATGAAATAATCATACTATACATGTTTGTATATATTTCATTTTGGGGGATAATGCAATTTGATTTCTAGATAAATTCATGAATCTTTCACAAATGTTAGACAAAAGAAAAAGGTCTATTAAAAAGACCACTGGCTTAGAAGGTGAGGTCATAATCTGACCTGACACTAGGAACTGGATGACCTTCAACAGAAAACCTCACTTCCCTGGGTCTTAATTATCTCATCTTGACATAAAAAGGTCAGACAGTGTAGAAGATCCCTTCCCATTTGGAATCCTAAATTTCTAACATACAACCTATATTTCTACCCCAGCAAAAGATCTTTGTTGCTACCAGTAAACATAGGTTCACACGAGAATAGTTTGTACAACTGCCTGTATACTGTGATATAACTCATTTGGGGTAAAACAGGAGACCTCTGCTAAAATATTAATGTTCTTGTAATTGTTTCTCACAAGAAGCTATTGATATTTTCCTCAGATCCAAAGCAGTGTCCTGAGGTTCCGGTTGGTGCAATTCTAAGCCTTGCATGTCAATAGCTTTTTCCTGCCTGGCCAGCTACTTATAGATAACTGAATCTTGAGACTAATTGTATCAACCTCTTTTGCATTAGTAGTGGTGAGTGAACAAATGTCTTCTATGTCTGGACCTGATGTATAGGTGCAGTCCTACCAGCAGGAAAGAGACTTCCCACCACTCTGAATGAATCTGGTGAAAAGCCCTTCTTCCACCAGGCTGTGAGTACAAATTGAGCTGAATTCAATCAGTTTGTTGGATCTAGATTAGATAGAACATTCCCAGAAAATTCCAAAGACTATATTATTATGTTCAGGTCTGTATGTCTTGGAAAGCAAAAGTGATCATTAACAAATGCATTCTGGCCAGTTCCATTTGAGATGGGTGAGAGAACTGATTCCATAATCAAACATGAAAAACATTTCACTTCTACCAGCCATGAAGATTCCTTAAATAAGGGGAAATGTTCAAATACATTAATTTCCTCATCTTGCCACTTGTTGCTCACTAACAACACACATTTCACAGGATGCCTCTCTGGTGTAGGACATAAACAGCTCTTCTCTATAAAATGTGGTAAAAGTATTTAGGATTCCAATTCAACAAATATTTATTGGACAACTTCCATGCAGTTCCTGCCCTCTGTGAGCTCTCCATCGTAAAGAGGTCAACACATAAAAGCTAAATATAATATGATATGGTTTTCATAGAGAAATATATAAAGTTTGGGAAAATAGAAGTATAAAATTTACTATGCTTTGAGCATTTCTCCTTATTTTTGACTCTTTTCACTAAAATCAATTCAGAACTGACTGGACAGAAATTACTTAACATATTAATCAGGAACTGAGACTTCCACTTAAGTTTGTAGAAGTGTGCTAAGCCTCTCCAACTCAAATTTCATTTCTGTTACTTTTTCATACATTCTTTTCTGTATAGAATTCTTTTCTTTCTCTTTCTCTATCTCTATCTCTCTCCCTTTCTTCATTTTTAAGGGTATTATACCGCAAAATTTGGAAAAAATTTTTAAGAGGCAGAGAACTCTGTTTTGCTCTGCTTCTTCTTCTCTAGGGTTTTTCAGTTTTTAGTTTGAGAGTTTTATTTACATTTTTTCCATATTGTAATCATGCCATGCCTATATTTTTGAAACTTGGCTACATCATAAGCATTTTTTCATGTTGGTAAATATAGTCTTCAAATGATGATTGCCAAATGTTCTGTAAGTGACTTTATCTAATTTGCTCAATACCCACCTATCATCAGGTAATTAGTTTGTCATTGTTCATGGGCCCACTTGCTGGAGGCCCTAAGTTTGCAGCATGAAGACAAATGTCTTTGATGCAGGCTGACCTCCTCTGATCATCACTGCTCTGGCCAGTGCCCGGCTACTATTGGAACTGAATTAGCTCCTCTGCTGACAGTCCACGGAGCTCCATGTTCTTCAGCAGCTGCTCCTCAAGCCATAAAGTGGGAAGACACCTTCCCACTGTCTAGTCTACTCTGGTTTTTGTGGTAAATGAGCTCCCAGCACTAGTGAGTCAGCCTAGATTCAACACTAACACCAGAATAACCAGGCACCATCCTACCCCTATCACCTCTCAAATGTCACCATGTAAAACACTGATTTAGAGTCTCTGAAGCAGACAGTGTGGAGCAAACTGTGGTGCAAAAGGAATCTGATCCCAATTCAGCACTATTTTCAGCATTAGAATGCAAAACTCCTTATTTCCTGGTTGTTTGTTGAATCTTCTCAAACACACTGAAAACATATCATCATCATGATTTTTAACCTAATAAGTGTTATCCAGGAGAAACCCCAGCAAGATTTAATTTAAGGTCAAAAAATGGGGGTGGGGAGAAGCCATTACCACTTGGACACATTCCAAAGTGGTTAATTGCATGTTATCTGCCTAAATTATCTTGTTACTTTAATCAGATATGGTAATAATCATCATTTCTTAGCTCACTTCAGTACTGCTGATTCTATTATTACCACTTCTGTATTAGTAATTGAACGTTTGGGCAAAGAGTGGTTTCTCTTTCTTAGTGCCTTTTTGAGAAGAATCCTCACTAGATAGAGGAGCTCCAATTCACAGAATAGAAAAAGAGGATGGGAAGGAGGAACAGAGAATTTCACACAATTATTCATTTTCCAAAAGGATATTGTGCAGAATTCCTTTAATCACAAAAATGCCTGTGTATTTTTAATGATTTCATTTTCTTTCTTTTCATTTTATGCACAATTTCTTAGACTCACAATTGCCACATTCAAACAAGGCACAACTCTATTTGAAAATAAATATTCAGATATCAGTGGGGGTGCAACTAAAGGGCACTAATAGAAGCATTTTTGTTTGGTGCTTCTCAAATTTAATGTGCAGACAAATCCCCAGGGGAGCTTGTTAAAATTCAGATTGTGACTCCATGGGGCTGGGGTGGGGCCCAGAGTGAGTTTCTCATGAGCTCAGGACCCAGGTCCACAGATCACACTGAGAAGCAAGGATCTGGGTGATTCCACGGCTCTGAACCATGGGGTACAGGTGACTTTTAATATAAAAAAAATGCTACAGTGATCCCCTACTACCAAGAATTGTATTCCTGGAGCTAATTTTCTCTCCTCATTTTAATTCAAGCCCATTTTGAAAATACAGAACCTATCACCTGCACCTTTATTTGATCATTTTAATTTACCTTTCTATACCTTTTTCATTCCTTTAGAAACAATTCCACTTTCTTTTACCTTTTTTCTAGAAATCATTAGTCTTAAAAGAGGAACCTTATCAATAAGACTTGCTGCAGTCCGGCTGCAGCGAAATAACCGGGGGGTGATGAGCAACTTGTGTAGATGGATACAGCAGGAGTGGGAGCCGTTTATTGTAGGACTGGAGGGGTATATATACATTACACACAGCTTATCTTAATTAACATAAACTAGATACAGCAGTCAACCAATAAGGAATCTCTACACTTAATGGCTCGCTGGCGTTACTTCACAAACCACTCCCTCTGCAAAATGCCAGGTGCCATCTTGACTTGTTTACAGACTCTAACAAAGACTACAATTTGAATCCTTTCTAGCAGTCGTTTTAAAAACTCATTCCCCTATTTCTCCCCACTCAAAGAGAGAGTTTGCCTTAGTCAGTTGTGCAACTGCAGAATTATATGAAGTTTAAAGATTACTGTGCCCCTTGTCTATCTGTCATGATCTCTACACCCCATCCCAATGGATGTTTGTATTTGGTCATCTCATACACTACTAGGAAGTAGACTCACTCACTTGGTAATTATATGTTGAGCCACTGCCACATGCAAGGCAGTGTTCTGGAGAGAGGGAAGAATCAGTGGTAAACAGTTCTTATGTATTTACAGTCTTGGGCAAATGTTGAGCAAGGAATCAGTACACATTTTGTACCTATAAGCAGGTACTAGATTATTTGAAGCCTTGCATTTTTTTCCTCCAATACTCTTTCCTTCAGAACCTATTTGTTCATATCTCATCATGTTGGCTGCTCCCATATCTACTATCCCAAACACTTCCAGGCCCATGACTCAAGCTGTTTTTTATGAACACAATATGGCAAAAACACACTCTCTTCCCTCTCAAACACGCTCTCCTTTTAGTTTTCCCTATGTGCAATGAACCTCTACTCTTCCACACAGTAGGTGCTGAATTCCGGCAGACCTCTTGCACATCCTGTAGTCAATGCATCATCAAGATCTGTTGATTCTTATTTCAGAACATCTCACAAACTTGACTTTTCCTGCTATCATCCTCTATGAAATTAAACAACCAGTAGTCTTTCCTTTTTCTAAATTTGATATGTACCCACTTGTGTATTCATAAACTCATTTCTATTATTTTAATATTAATTGCACACTCTCTTAGTGAGAAGTCTTAGGGGAGGTTCTGTAAAAATCATAAAGATAATTAATAGGCTGTTTTCCTCTTCAGTTCTACATAAAATAGTTAATATCACAAATATGTTATACACATATTTATAGCTTAACATTTCATAGTGATATATAACTTCATCGATGGAATGAGTAATTTTGTTTTTGTTGTCCTTATTGTAATACTATCAATGAGAGGAGGACCAGGCCTTACCAAAAAGTAATGCTATGAGGAAGGAACCAGAGATCCCAAAGAAAAACCACCACTAAGTGCTAGAAGAACCTCTGGACTTTGGGGCTTCCTAACAGCATGGACTTTGGGCTTCCTAACAGTATGACAACAGGTGAGCTCTGGTTTGCTAATTATGGTACTGAGGGTAACATGAAAGCCAGTCCAAGAGTTTGATGTAATTGTACTCCCAGCTGGTCAAATACATTTTACCCTTTAGTTCTTAGCACTTTCAATTTGTTTAAAATGCTTGCATTCACATTGTTATTTTTAGATAAAGATAATTTCTTGGGAATAAAAGTAACACATAAGAACAGAGCAGACTCGATTTGTGCTACCAATCATGTTTGTCCTACATATCACCAATCACTTGTGTTATTTTTGGTTCCAAAAGGAACATAAGATCCCTGAGGTTGACTGGTTTTTGTGTTGTTGTTGTTGTTTGTTTGTTTTTGTTTTAATTTTTGTTTATTCGCACTTCTGTGTTTCCTACTGCAAACTGCAGAATCCTGGACACTGCAAATGTTGGGCAAATGTTGAGCAAGGAATCAGTACAAATTTTGTACCTATAAGCTGCTTTCCCACAATGCATCCAATCTCCCCCTCCTCCAGCACTGTACCTTCTCTGGGCACCGTCCTAATGGTCCACAGCTATGGGTTTCAAGCTATCTTTGATTCCTAGAACTCTCCCAACCATTGCTATCCACTCATCTTTCAGCTCTTCAAGAACCATCTCAGGGGAAACCACCCCCATGAGCCTTGCCCCATCCTCCAAAAATGGGGTCTCTCTTTTTAAGCCACCAAAGGCACAATTTTTTTATCTCATACGTTCCAACACTTTAGTGTTTTGTTCCCTGCTACCTCATGCTGCTCCCTCATTGTTCCCAAGCATAGGCCCAGCTCTCCAAAATTACTGCAAATAGATTCAGAGCAGGCAAGACCTTAGGGACTTCATTCTAATTGAGGTATTAATGTTTTCCCCAGGTCTTCAATTGCACCTGTATTAGAATCAGATCTATCAAGGGGTTTTTTTTCTACACAATATATATTCTATAAGGACCAAAGTGAGTAATACTACTCAACCTATTAGATATGCCTAATGATTTTTACAGAAAAGCAATTTCACAGTCTCCTTGAATTCTAATTTTATATGTCAGAGTGATAATGATAATATACAGAGGAACTTCTGGGCAATTATTCCTCAGGCTGCTTTGAGAATGGTTACCTTTCCCAGTGGCTGCACACATTAGGGTCTTCAAGATTCAGAGGCAATGCTGTCTTAATCCAGTGGCACAGCAGTAAACAGACAAGGCTCAGGCATGAATTCAAAGAAATAATCATTTTTTTCCTGAAGAACAACCTGAAAAAAAAATAGAACTGCATTAAAATCACCCAAACAGAATTATTTTCAGTAGAGCAATCACTCAGTACCAGTTGTCTCTAGGGCTGACACGTGCATAACAGTCCATGTATTTAAATAGCCAGGGCACTAGATTTTGTGGTTCACAAAAGAGAGGTGTTTCTTATGTTGTGCAGAGTGCCTACGGAATTGTAAATCACTAAAATGTGCAAATCATCATTAATTACCACCACCACAAAAGACCTTCTCATCCACGCCAGCTGATTATTAAAGGAATCCACCAGAATAACACAGAGCTTCCAGATTCTCTCACCAGGCATATTCCCTTCTGGAAGAAGAAGGCCCACAGAGAAATCTGGCCTCATTTGTCTTAGAGAATAAATGATGAAACAGAAGCTCCTTTGACTCCAAGAAAGGCACCTCTGGCTCAAGCTGAGAGTCATTCAATAATTCTTTCAACATGGACTGAATGCCTACCCAATCTTAGGTGCCATGAGAAACTGGTTACAAAATAGAACTAGTCCCCTTCCCTATCCTTTAAGATTCTTATAATGTATTGATTGTGACACAAATATCTTAAATGCACTGCTTCAGCTTCTCCATTTGCTGAAAAGAAACTATCTTGTAGTGGTTTCTGCAAAAATAAATAAATAGGGGAAAAAAAGGTGTTTAGAGGTCCATTTTGGAAAAAAATGAAGCTAAAGATCATAATCAAAAACCAAATGGCAACATATTTGGAAGCCTGGAAAATAGGTAAGCTGGCAAAAGAGAGGAAAAATAAGAGGGAGAATGTTCCAGACAGAGAGATCCAGGGGTGAGGGAGGGCCAGGTGCATCTGGGGAACTCAAATCAATTCATAGCAGGAGAAAGGAGATAGTTGGAGAAGGAGACTGGGGGCATACCACAGCAGGTCTTATAAGCCATTGTAAAATATGGAACTTCATCCCAGGATAACAGGGAGCTGGTAAAGGGTACTGAATGACACTGGAAAGATGACTCTGGCTATAGGGGACGACTGTTAGAGGGAGCCAGGTCAGATGCCAGTGTGGCGAACCAGGAAGCAGAACTGGGATGGCAGGGAGTTGAGTGACTCTAGGAGATTTTTAGAAGGTGGAATCCACAGGACTTGGCTACCAAATGCAAGACTAGGGGAAAAGAAAGACTTCTGGTTTAGTCCTGGTGGAAATGATCAGTTGTTCATTGAGATCGGAAGCACAAAACCCTCCTCCTCTGGGGAGGGAAGCTTCAAGTTCAGTGTTAGATGAATCAAGTTTGAGGTTTCTATAAGGTATTCCAGTAAAGCCACCTACAGGAATTTGTTGAACATCTACTATTTGCCAGGCACATGTATGTAACAATTGTAATATCATATGCACCTGAGAATCACAAGCATTTCTTCACTTCTTGGAAATTAACACTCAGAAGGAAAAGCTCAATTGTCACACTGTGTCATTGTAAAAATGGACATCAAATTAGAAATAGCTGATCCATTGACTAAATTACAGAAAAAAAAATAATAAGCATTAACCTGCCTGTTGTGAAACTAATAACAATGGGGCAGATTATTTAATCCAAGCTATCATTTCCAGACTTTAATTTTCCATACCATGAAGTTAACAGTTCTTGGTATATGAGAATCAAATGTATTAAATGATAACTTTTTTTATTTGAAAAGATAATATTAAATAAATAATAAATGAAAATGAAAGGGAAAAAAACCAACTAGGATGTAGTTTAGCCTTCAAATTCAGGGGGACAGATTGAACAAGGAAATAGTAAATAAATTCTCCAAGATCAAGACTGCAGAGAAGGGCAAGTATTTTAAATGTGTTATGGCAAATTATTTATCTCTGACTCCACAAAGACTAAAGTAAGAGAAAGTGATTTGGAATAAAAAAGTATCTGAGTTTGTAAGATAATTTAAAAATAGTGTTAGTCATTAAGGGAAGTTGTGAAATCTTTAGGAAGCATATTCTAATGCAATATATAAAGCATAATTAGCCAAAATATGACTTATAACATAATTTCAATTATTGATATTTCTCACTGGCTTACATTAAAAAGTTGTAAAATCTGAAGTTTAACATTATGTAACTAAAGAAGCTATTCCATCTAACAGGAATGAATTAAAAATAATGATGATGAGGAGGAGGAGAATGATAAATAATGGCTAACATTTCCTGGCTCATTATTGTGTGCTAGACACAGTACTGAGCTCCTCATGAACTATTTTAATCCTCACAGCTTACCCCAGAAGTAGGGGGTTTTATTGTTCTCATTTTACAGCTGAAGACATGTAATATACGCCTAGTGTTTCCCTCATCTGTCAGAAAAAGAAGACATTTATTATATTTGGTTGTAACAAATAAGCAGAGCAAATATCTCTCTGTCTCATAGCTTTTCTTTGCCAGGGTAAGCATTTTGTTTCAATGAAGTGTGAAATTCATATATTAACTTTCATTCTTTCCTCAAAGACAAAATGAAGGTTGGTGAGCAGTAATCTGCTATCTCCTCATAAACAATTACCCCAAATTGAGGAGTTTATTTCCTGAGTCACCATCTCAGATCAAACCATCCATTTACCAATTAGAAATGTTTAGTCTGTAAAGTTAGAAATTACCCCCAAGCAAATAAAACTGCCAAGGAAAACAATGAGACTGTGTGATCTCTCAATGTAAAAATTGTGACACTAGACTTCCAGTTTCTCTTTTTGCTTTGCACCTGATGCAATGCTTGCGAAAGTGGGTGGCAGGAAAAAAGTAGAATTTGGTTACCTCCTCATTGCTTTTTAAATTCAGCATGTAGAAATGTCAAACTGCATCACAAAGTCACAGGTGGCATTTGCGGAAGGGAAAAGATCAGTATTTAAAAGATGTGTATGTGTGTGGTCACCTACATAAATTGGTCTCTTCATCCCAAAGCAGTTTATTAATTAAAATCAGAAAATTAACTGAGTTCTAGAACAATCTATATTAGAGAATAACGTGTCAAAAGTAAAGGGAATGGCTAGATCAACATACAGGGATCAAGCAAACTCAAGTAAGATGGTTAAAACTGAGAAAACAGTGCAAATATTATAAACGTTGGAAAAAGAAGACATCTCACAAATATTCGAATAAACTATAACTATAGAAACACAACATTTCACTATAATAGAAAATGTGGATTGCTCTATTGTTCCATATTGTTTAATGAAGGCTCTGATATGCAATCCAACAGTTAACAGAGCATTACATTGTACTCTATTTTATTTGTTGTCTTCTATAGGTGAGCATGATTTTTCCTTTATGCCTGTTCTGGTGAAGGAAAAGTTGAATATGTTTTCCCCTATTTCTGTCTTCTATGCTTTCATATAATTTTCTACACTACAGTGAAAATAAAAACAAAATATAATTTTTCAAAAATAGCATTATTTCAATTGGAAAAAAAGCAACACAGTAGTAATGTGCTTCATTAAAAAGAAATATTTTGAATATATTCAAAACTCTAAATTGAATATTAAGATACCCTCACCCACCGGTCTTCATCGTCAAATAACTTTCCTTATGATTCCATTTAACAAAATTTTAAATGTAAAAAATATAAGTCATTTGCATAAACCCCCTAGTGCCAAACTTGATTGCATCCCAGATCATTCACTTAATTATTATGGAAAAATCAAAACAGAAAATCAGTACAACTGATTAGCATTGCTAAAGTGCTCCTATTAGAAGAGGAGACACAGCCCGCAGAGTTAACTCTTCCTGCCTTGCAGCTCCGCTTGGAATACAGGCTTGCTTATCCCACCACAAAAGCCTCCATCCATAATCAGGTTGAATAAAATCCTTACAATGGATGAGTCTGGGTACTCATAATAAACAGTATTTTCTTTATCAGTGTGTTAAGGAGAAATAAATAACAGGGCGTCTACTTACTAATTTATTTTGCAACAACAGAGGGATAAATGATTCTAGGCAATTCCTTTTGGGCTCTAAATTCGATTACCTTTCTAAAACCATTAATTGTACACATAGAAATAACTAGGGTCCCCACATCCAGTTTTTTTCTCAAGCTTATTACCTATCTCCAAGATCTTCTCACAGTATTCTAGATTAAAACCAATTTCTTAATTAAGAATAGCCACTTTTCCACAATCAATTTTCCCCTCTGGATGCCAAGAGCCATCTATTCCACTTGGCCACTCTATCAGGCCTAGAGACGCTGTGCTACTTGCTTCTCTTCAAACGACTCAGACAGGCTGCCCAGGTGGGGCAGAAGGCAATGGGCTGTTCTTCCTGGGGCTTCGTGCCTATGAACATGGTGTCCACAGTTCAGCTTCAGCATATTAATGATTAACTTTTTCTGATTGCCCTGAGAACACCCTCAGATGAGAACATCTATGGAAATACAACTTTGCTGATAAAAGGAATCCTTGAGGCACAGTCATGATTTGTATTTTCACCACTCAATGTGTGTCACTCAGCTTTGTGCTAACAAACCAATTGGCCTTATTGCTTTGGGTCTGAAGTGGCAGGTGCTCAGGTGGAGAAGACCTGTTCACCTCATGGCCAGGTGTGACACAGAGAGGAAGGCATGAGGTCCCACTATCCCCTTCAAGAGCACACCTCCAGTGATCTAAAACCTCCTGCTAGGACCCACCTCTTAATGTTTCCACCAGCCCTTAACAGTACACACTGGGGAACAGCCTTTAACACATACACCTTTGAGGAACATTTAAGATCTAAACTAGAGACTAGTCATTCTAACAGCACTTTCCATTGCCCAAGCACGACTCTTCGTTTCAAGCAGTACATGTGTAATGGTTAATTTGAATTGTCAATTTGATTGGATTAAGCGATGCCTATGATTGAAAGGCTTCTGGGTGTGTTAATGAGGGTGTATCCAGTAATGACTGGCAGGTGGGAGAGCAAACTGAAGTGGAGACCCTCTCTAAGCATGAGCAGCACTGTCCAACAGGATGGTGGCTTGGATGGAATAAATGTTGGAAAAACAAGGAAGCA